ATCGTTTGATCTTGTTTTTTGTGTGGTCAAATATTTTTTAAAATTTGTTTAATTTAAATTGATCCGTATTTTTTTTAAATTCCATAAATAATTATTTGCAAAAAGTAGAAACAGAGAAGATGCAACTTCAAGAATTTGATACAGTATTCAAATACGGAACAAAAGCAATGATGCAACTTCAAGAATTTCAGTTATACGCAATTACTTACAATGATAATAATTTCCAGTTGACCTTGCATCAATCATGACATTTCCAATCATCTCAGAGTATATCTGCATAAGCATCAGAATGTTTTAAAAGACAAACATATTTCTTTAGGTGGAACAAAAAGATTAGATTCAACACGGAGGAATGTCTAGAAAAAAAAGGATCAAAACGGAAGCTCACCTTGCAAACTGTATCGAATCCAAAGCTTGTTTAAACTGCACATGTGACGTGAGCCATTTAAAGTTATCCACATAGAGGCTTTGTAAGCAGGAAAAAATCTCTTAAAGTTACAAATATATTCAACCTGCTCAGGAGTTTCGATCTTGTCTCTTCCACTGCAGATCATGTCAAACCCACCCTGTTGAGACCCAAAGAGAGTTATAACCACATCAACATAAAACACAAAGCATCATCAACAGAGGATTAATGCTCCCTAGATTGGCATCAGCACCATAGTGTAAATGTTGATTTTAATACTTGAATTAAGTCGAAAATGATGATGTACTTCTAAAATCCCAATCAATCACAAAACTCGTGGGAAAGATCCATAAATTATACAGTCCAAGTACCTGGTTTCTGTGAGGCTGAATGTATTCTGCATTCAACTCAACATATTTGCACTTCATGATACAAGCTGGACCACCCTTGAACCCGTAAAATGTGCTTCCTTTTGCACGCTCCTGCAAGTAATCTAACCCCAAAAACAAAATTACAAATCAAGAGTGAACAAAATCAACAAAAATGCAAAGAAAATCATCATTAAGATCAAAACCATTCATAGCTGAAGGATGAAAGTGAGAAAAGACCTTTAGGAGAAGCAGCTTCCCAACAAAGCAGGAGGAAGCCCTTCGTTGTTCTCTATCACTCGATCTTCTTCTTCGATTGCCTCGAACACTTCTACTAGAGGAATCGCGAGAGGCAAATGAAAATTTTACCCTAAATCCTAAACCCTAGATAAAAGATGGGGAGAGAAGAGAATAATTTGGAAATAATGTTTTGACCCATAAACCCCCTAAAACCCTAGTAGAGGGTATGTTTGGGTTAATTATGTTCTATTAGGGTTTAGTTACGAGGGTTTTGGGGGGGATTTATGGGTCAAAACATT